ACATTCAAAGATTCATGGGTTTTGCCAACTACTACCGCAAGTTCATCCCAGACTTTGCCCACTGGGCGGACCCCATTACCCAATGCCTGAGAGGCAAACGGCCGTTCCTATGGACTGAGGCGGCTGAGAAAAGCTTTCAGCAGCTCAAGAAGCTTTTCACTTCTCAACCTATCCTGCAACATCCTGATCCAACTAAGCTTTTTGTGGTGCAGGCCGACGCGTCGGATGTGGCGGTCGGGGCAGTGTTGCTACAACCCGCGGGGGATCATCTCCAGCCCTGCGCATATTTTTCTCGGCAGTTGACTGCCCCAGAACGGAATTACACCATTTGGGAAAAAGAACTCCTAGCCATCAAGTCGGCGTTTGAGACTTGGAGACATTGGCTAGAAGGTGCTATGCAACCAGTGGAAGTCCACACGGACCATCGCAATCTGGAATATCTCCGTACCTCCCGGAAGCTAAACCAACGACAGCAGCGTTGGGCGTTGTTTTTTGAGAGATTCAACTTCCGGATTTGCTATGTGCCGGTGGCTCAAAACAAACAGGCGGATGCTCTGTCACGCAAGCCGGAGTATACTCGGGGCCAAGAAGATTCCTCCGAGTCCTGCATTTTGCGTCCAGAAAACTTTGCGTCCACCGGCGTACCAGGACCCCCTTCGACTCTGGCTGAAAGGATCCGAGCGCGGCAGCAAGAGGACTTGTGGGTGCAAGAGCAACTAGAGGCCGGGCTAAAGTTTCCGTTTCAGGAGTTGGATGGCATGCTGTGTCATCGTTCAAAGGTCTATGTGCCGCCTGGTCCCGAGCGGGAGGAAATTTTAAGACTATGCCATGACACCAAGCCAGCAGGGCATTTCGGGATCTTTAAAACAATGCAGCTGGTGCTAAGAGACTTTTGGTGGCCCAAGATCCGACGAGAAGTCGAGAAATATGTTAATGGGTGCCCTGTCTGTCACCACGCCAAGAACCCTACGGGCAAACCGGCTGGTTTGCTACAACCTCTACCCACTCCGAGTCGGCCCTGGGAAATCGTGTCGGCCGACTTCATCACGGATTTACCAGAATCTCAAGGTTTCACCACCATTCTGGTGGTGGTGGATCTTTTCACCAAGATGGGACATTTCATTCCCTGCAAGGGAGTGCCTACGGCCAAAGAAACGGCCGACTTGTTCCTGAGCCACATTTTCCGTCTTCATGGACTTCCAACGAGTTTGGTGACCGATCGCGGTGCCCAATTTACCTCGCATTTTTGGAAGGAGATACAGCGGCAGTTGGGCATCGAGAGTCGAATGTCGTCAGCACACCATCCACAATCCGATGGCCAGACTGAGAAGACCAACGCCACCCTTGAACAATATTTGAGATGTTTTATAAACTATCAACAGGACAATTGGTCATAGCTTCTTGCTGTAGCCGAGTTTGCTTATAACAACGCTACTCACGGGTCGACCAAGGAAGCCCCGTTCTTTGCTAACTATGGATACCACCCCCGGTTCTTTCCTGCAGTGGTGGGGTCTGGAGAGGTCCCTGCCGCTACCACCTGGCTGCAGGAACTCTCAGCAATTCAAGAGATTTTAAAGGCTCAACTGGAGCAAGCAAAAGAGGATTACAAACGGGTGGCGGATACCCATCGACAGCCGGGTCCACCGATTCAAGTGGGAGATCGAGTTTGGCTGTCCACCAAACATTTGCCTGTACAGCGCCCCTCTCGGAAGCTTGACGCTCGTTTTGTGGGGCCATACCCAGTGGTGGATCAATTAAATCCTGTAACTTTTAAGTTAAAGCTTCCGCGCGGCATGCGGATCCATCCTGTTTTTCATCGGTCGTTGCTTCGACCCGCCACG